TCACGCACAACCATCTCTAGGGTTTCTAATGGAATACGGGATATTTTCTTGGCACACTTTGGGCTCATTAGTACCAATAGAGCAGTGTTTCTCAACTGGTGGGTCGCAACCCACTTGGAACATTTCCAGTGAGTCGCGCGGAGTGTGTGGTCGGAAAAAAAAATTAAAAGTACAGTTTTTTACTTATTTTGCTAATACCAGAGTTTTATTTTGAAATGCGTGCGCGACAACCCTACCGTTTGACATGGGAAATTTCCTTTAATTATTGCAACAAATATGTCAAAGCACAAGTTCCACCCCAAATATGTAAAATAATGATATATACAGACGACAAAAAGACTTAAAGCCTCAGTGTCATATGATGTGAGGTGCTCTCATAAGTGAGCATGAAACCTTCTAAAGTAAAACAACATTTAGAAACCAGAAAACATGTTTTAATAAGTTTTTCATTAACAGTATTTGTCGTTTTTACTTTGCAATATTTCTATAATTTGATCCATTTTGTTAAATGACAGCAATAAAATAAAGTGTTCATTTGTAAGTCTTGGTGAATTTCTTATGATTTATCTGTCACTACTTGGTTATGCTAACAAATAAATACAAATTAAGTATAATTCCTAAAATTGTATTATAGTTCCTAAAAATTTGGGTCGCGGCTGAGTATTGCTGCTGACCATGTCCATCCCTTTATGAGCACAGTGTCTCCATCTTCTGATGGCTACTTCCAGCAGGATAACACAGCATGTCATAAAGCTCAATCATCTCAGACTGGCGAACATGTCAATGGCCTCCACAGTCACCAGGGGCCTCATGTACGAAGACTTGCGTGGAAATCTTACTAAAACATTGCGTACGCACAAAGCTGTAAATGTGCGTACGCAGAAAAAAATTCAGATGTATGAAACACTGCGTACGCCGAGTCTCACGCATATTCTTTTGTACATCCGAATGAACGTGAAACTGAGCGCAACATGCACGAGCACAAAACCCCTCCCTGCCTCCTCCCCCGTATGAATATGCTAATGACTATGCTAATGTAAAAACCCAACGAAAAAGCAATGGCAAAAGCAAGCAAAAAGAGAAACTTTGAACAGAATGTGAATTGGAGGTGCTGCTTTCGGAGGTAGACCGGAGAAAAGCGCTGTTATTTGCAAGTTTGTTCGGCGGAATTAACAACAAAAGAAAAAAAATAGAGTGGGAGAGTTTAGCTGATACGGTTAACACAGTTGGGTCTGAACATCGCACTGAGTGCATTTAAAAAAGAAATAGTGTGGTTTATATCTGTAAAATGTTGCAATACCCTTCGCAGTCTCAGTGGCGCACCTCATAAGAAGCATATGATCATGTACTGACACGTTCGAGCATAACTCGGCTCGAATCCAGCGTCTGATGAATTCTTTCTTCTTTTTTTTCCCGCTACATATCAGATTTTGCCCACTATTTATCACGAGAAAGACAAGTAGGAATCATCAATAAGTTTGTGCATCATATTTTATTTGCACATTTATTGAATGGAAATGTTTCTGATTCACGCATGCAAATTTATCTTCACATAGTGTCTTTATAGCAATGTGTGTGCAGTAGATAGCTCAGATTACATTGGGAAAACAGGCGACCGCTGCAAATTGTGCTTTAATGTTTAGCTGGTCAACTGTATGGTATGGAAATCTTACATACCTACTATATGAACCCGTCTCATACAGACGCCATTGCAAGGATCAGACACTTTGTAGAGAAGAATTTAACACAACTGCCTCTAGGAGTCGCCAATGGAAATAAAACAGACACGCACAAAAAATGTGCGTACGCCTGCCAGAAACCTGCCGTGAACCTGCGCAAATTCCCACGTTCAGTTCATTGTTAGTAAATCCAAACGTGAGCGATTCTGAGCGTGAAACCTGGCGTACGCAAAGTTTTTGTGCGTACGCAGCGTTGATACATGAGGCCCCAGATCTCAATCCAATAGAGCAGCTTTGGGATGTGGTGGAACGGCAGATTGGCATCATGGATGTGCAAATCTGCAGCAACTGTGTGATGCTATCATGTCAATATGGAGCAAAATCTCTGAGGAATATTTCCAGTAGCTTGCTGAATCTATTCCATGAAGGATTACGACAGTTCTGAAGGCAAAATGCGGTCCAACTGGGAACTAGCAAGGTGTACCTAATAAAGTGGCCAGTGAGCGTATACAGTATTTACTACTGCATGGTTCAAAAACACATTTGTTAATTAAGTGTTTTGATTTTAAAACAGAAGTTCTTACACATTTTATTCTCGAAGTTGACCCATTGTGGTTAAAACAGTCAGTAAAATGACTAAACGAGGCGGCTGAAAATGCCCGTCGTCTGCTGCAATGTTTTCCATAAGTGGAAAAGATGTAAAAGTGAGCTCACGCTGACTGATAAAATCACAGAGACCATTCATTTAGGAAAAATGCCTGGAGAAATAAGATGTACAGAGTAATAAAAAAAGCTATGCTTGATGAGATGAAAGGACAGAAGTGATTAAACAAGGAGTAAATCAATGCACTGAAAGGATTTGCATATGGTGGCCATTATATTGGCCCTCCATCTATTGTTCCTAAAGGGCCTTTTGGCTGCAGGCGGCAGGACATTTGACCCCCACACTTAGCCTAATAAAGGCCCTATTAAACCTCCACTGTGCTCCATTTGCATGCTTTTAAATGAGAATGAACATCTTTTACACTTTACTTCTATACACTACATCAATAATCAATAAAAACAACACAATATTACAAACTTTATCTACAAAATAACCCTAAAATGAATATAAAAGTTAATAAATTGAACGTTTCCTTACATTTTAGCTTCATGTTATTTCTGTGCACATTTGTGTAGCCTTTCCAAACCCTCAAGAAAAAGTACTGTAGTGATTACTATGGAGTTTTTGCACTAGTAAAACACTTGAATTAATATGTTAGTAATTCAATAGCTACTATGTTAACACAATAACTACAATAATGAACACAAAACTACTGGTTTTTATTAATCAGGGTGTGTCATACTATAATACACCACCGTGCAATAGTAAAAACGAAAGTATACTACAGTATTTATTACATTTTGAGCTCAGAGTTATGATGTACAGTAGCCTTTATTGTTATTTTAATGTTGTTATTTATTATTACAACATTGTTCACAGTCAATTATGATATATTCACAGTATATCATGATAGTGTTAATGTTTAGAAGTCATGCTTGCATGCTAATTCCAATCGAATATTCAAAGTAACATGGTAAACAATATAGAGACTGCTAAATGAACAAATGTGCAAATATAAAACCAACTTTACCTCTATCAACTGATAGTTATAAGCACAAATGCATTGGTTTTTATTAATCAGGGTGTGTTATACTATAATACACCACCGTGCAATAGTAAAAACGAAAGTATACTACAGTATTTATTACATTACATTACAAGAGTTATGATGTACAGTAGCATTTATTGCTGATGTTTTGTAATTGCTATAATATATACAGTATAATACACATTACTGTTTGGTAGTATGGTAAAGTTTAGTTCAAAAACACAATAGTGGTGACTATAAATGAATATAGTATTTTTTTAATGTGAAAACAGACACACTGTATAGACTTCTATTGTTTTCTTATAGTCTACAGCTAGTTATAAATACTCCTGGCTGCATTTATAACCCTAACAGACCAAGTTCTGCACATTAACATGAACATTATCTACACATTACACAAGTATAGAGACACTTCTTCATACAAAATGATCTCCAAAACGTTCTTAAAGGGATAGTTCACCAACAAAATTAAACTTTACCCACTAATTTACTCTCCTCGTGTGCTTTCATACCTTTAAAAGAGATTTTTTCTTCTGCTATACACTAAAGAAGATGTCTTTAAGAAAGCTGAAATCCTGAACCTTCATAATGGCAAAACAAACACTATGAAAGCCAATGGTTACAGGCTTACAGGTACATTTTTAAGATATCATCTTTTGTGTTCAAACAGATGAAAAAAAAGATATGAAACATAGAGGTAAAGTTGGTTTTAAATTCGGATATTCAGACTTTCTCCTTAATAATATGATTTTTCAGAAAAGTATCGTTATCAAAGTCTAAATAGGGAAATCATATAAGCAGTAAATGACTATCAAAGTACAGCATTGTTCACAGTCAATTTGATAGTGTTAATGCTGTTTCGAAGTCATGCTTGCATGCTAATTCCGACAGAATATTCAAAGTAACATGGTAAACAATATAGAGACTGCTAAATGAACAAATGTGCGAATATAAAACCAACTTTACCTCTATCAACTGATAGTTATAAACACAAAAGCATTGGTTTTTATTAATCAGGGTATGTTATACTATAATACACCACCGTGCAATAGTAAAAACGAAAGTATACTACAGTAATTATTACATTTTGAGCTCAGAGTTATGATGTACAGTAGCATTTATTGCTGATGTTTTGTAATTGCTATAATATATACAGTATAATACACATTACTGTTTGGTAGTATGGTAAAGAATGGTTCAAAAACACAATAGTGGTGACTATAAATTATTATAGTATTTTTTTTTTTATGTGAAACAGACACACTGTACAGACTTCTATTTCTTATAGCCTACAGCTACTTATAAATACTCCCAGCTACGTTTATAACCCTAAAGACCAAGTTCTGCACATTAACATGAACATTATCTACACATTACACAAGTATAGAGACACTTCTTTATACAAAATGATCTCCAAAACGTTCTTAAAGGGATAGTTCACCAACAAAATTAAACTTTACCCACTAATTTACTCTCCTCGTGTGACTTCATACCTTTTAAAACAATCTAGAGACTGATAAATTAATGAATGTGCGAATATAAAACCAACTTTACCTCTATTGAGTATCCTAAATGATGACAGAATGTTCATTTCTGTGTGAACTACCCCTTTAAGTAGGAACACGCATGCAGTAATGTTGTAATAAACAGAGGAAGTAGCGTTACTCACTTCAGTGTGTGGTGGAGTCGGTCAACGCGAACCGGACCGTGATGGTGATTTTGATGATTATGGTGGTAATAATGGTATCCTGAGGCTGTTCTTCGCTGTTTTAAACGCTCCGTTAGTGGATCTACGGTTCGGTCAGGCTGTGTACCACCCTCATCTCTCCCCTAAGATCGCAAAAAGTTTTCTAGGCGGTAAAATCGGTGTGACAGGGAGAGAAGCCGCTGCGGAGAGTTTGAATGGTATTTCCTGATTGTCTGAGTATTTCTTCCGCTTGGATCCGGTGATGAACGAGCGTCGGTAACTCACGTAGGATCGGCGGAGAGAGAGAGAAAGAGAGAGAGAATAACGGAACGGGCGGGGCTTAAACATCATCATGACATCACAGAGAGAGAGAGAGAGAGAGACAGAGAGAGAGACTCTTGTTCCGGACTCTAAAATAAGGCAAAGCTTGACTTACCCAGCTTACTTTCTAAAGTTTAAAGTACACCTAAAATCAAAACTAACTATATTGATTTTGTTAGCTCACACTGCTAGTTGTATGGTGAACAATTCATCTGTGCATATCATTAATTTTATAACCGGTCAATTTTATAACCGGTCATTTCTTTTCACTTTCGGTTTGAGGGCGGCGTCCTTTGCCTAGAGCTGCAGTTCAGCTTGCTCCAGCACCGGTCACATGGTCCTCCAGAATGGGTCGGTAGTCCTGGCAGTGACCCAGTGCCCATCTAGCACATATTGGGTCAAGGGAATGCCATGATATTGAGCACAAACCATCACTGACCCCCCCTCATGCTTCACTCTGGGCATCAGCAGTCTGGGTGGGACGCTTCTTTGGGGATTCTCCACACTGTAACTCTCCCGGATGTGGGAAAGACAGTGAAGGTGGACTCACCAGAGAATGTTTCACATTGTCTACAGCCCCATCCCTAAAATGCAGCCTAAAATACAGCCACATCAGTTTAGTGCCGTCCCAAACGAAACATTGTTTTTTTACTAAACAGAATATAATAACATATCCCAGACGACGTTTAACGATAGTAAAATAAATGACCAAATAGTAGTTGCCATGAGTAGAACCGCATTCACCATCCGGAGGTGGCATATTCACTATTTTGATTATTTCAATCACAGTTCTGCTTTCACCAATCAAAAACAAAGTAACCCAACATCATAGCCTAATAGCTCCGCCTTTTCATATGTAGCCCCTCCCTTTAAGTAGTAGCTCCGCCCCTCCAGCTAACTGAGCAAAGCTGTGGCAGTTAGGTGCGTGAAGTGTTCAATAACACACACTGCTTTTTAACAGTCGAATAAGTGCATCATCCGGGTATTTAAAGTGCACAATAGTATCTTCAGTCTGTATGCACTACAGTACTTATACTATTTATACTACAAAATGGCGTAGTATAGTGCAGGGGTGTGCAAACTCGGCCCTGGAGGGTTGTTATCCTGCAGATTTTAGCTCCAACCTGCCTCAACAAACCTGCAAGGATGTTCCTAGAAAGCCTAGTAAGAGCTTGATTAGCCAGCTTAGGCATGTCTGATTGGGGTTGGAACCAAACTTTGCGGGAGACTGAGTTTGGACATGCCTGGTATAGTGCATAACTATGCAAATTGGGACACACTCTATGTTTTGATCATTTTCAAGCCTCTGCGTTTCGATTTGCTCTTTCTCTGATGAAGTCAAGTTGATCCTTCACACACAATATTCTTAGCCACGCCCTTTTTACTGTTAGTTTGAGCTATGAGGGAATGATGCAAAAAAGAAAGCCCCGCCCCCTACTCAATATTCAGTTTTAGTACCACTTGCTCAAATAAAAGTGTCAGCAACTCAACCAGATTCACACAGAGCAGATTTTGTTGTTATAAACATTTTAATAATCTAAAGAACGCTTTTAAACCATGAAGAAACGTTCCCTCAACCTTCGTTTATTCTAATCTTGTCCCCAAACATTGCAGTTTATTCACATATATTTTCATACCACCTAGTCTACAAATAAATAAAGTGACTCTTTTATTAACACCTTTATTTTCTTTAAATTAGAAACAAACATTTGATCAAAAAAGACATAAATATCAACACTGAAATTCATTTTTCAATAAGTTACAAAGTTCAATAATTGCTTAATAATGCGCATCTCTTAAAACATGAAAAGCAAGAGAGCGTGCTTATTCCTCAAATATGAACAAACCGATCAATTAAAAGCAACAATATTAAAACCTGCCCCCCCCCCCCCATACAGCCCATTTACAATGAAACAGTAGAAATCCTTAGATTTTAACCCTCTCAAGGCAGGCGTTGCTGATTTGCAACAGTTAAAAGCATAGATTTTGCCTGTTTCTAAAATTTAATTTGACCCTGAAAGGGTTAATACTGCAATATCATTCGTTTTGTGAGCAAACGTTTACATTGAGCTCATTTATTGTGACCTGATAATGTCATTCATTGTAGCTGCTCTTTTTTTTTTTAGTTATTTATTATTCTTATCTGTTTATTATGAAAAATTAGACTGTTTTCGTGCTTCAGTGGTCCACATAATATAGTGTTTTTAGTTGCTAATACTATTGGCATGTGCTTTATGTACTTTTAAAATTGGTCATTTGCATACACACACACTCACACACACACACACTCTGAAGTGTGCAAGATGACAAACATCTCATGATTGAATCAGTCGCTCTTCAATAATCTTCATCCTACAAGAGAAAGAGGCAGAGACTGCATTAAAGCGCTGTTCAGTTTCAGAAACAAAACCTCTCTGCAGCTTCTCGCTGTTAGATTGATGACCTACACTCATTGGCCACTTTTTTAGGTACACCTTAGTACTGGGTTGGACCCCCTTTTCAGAACTGCTTGAATCCTTCGTGGAATAGATTCAACAAGCTACTGGAAATATTCCTCAGAGATTTTGCTCCATGTTGACATGATAGCATCACATCAGATTTGTCACCACATCCAAAAGCTGCTCTATTGGATTGAGCTCTGGTGACTGTGCAGGCCATTTGAGTACAGTGAACTCATCGTCATGTTCATCAGTCTGAGATGATTGAGCTTTATGACATGAAGATGGAGACACTGTGCTCATAAAGGGATGGACATGGTCAGCAGCAATACTCAGGTAGGCTGTGGCGTTGATGCTCAATTGGTACTAATGGACCCAAAGAAAATCTCCCCCACACCATTACACCACCACCACCAGCCTGAACCGCTGATACAAGGCAGGATGGATCCATGCTTTCATGGTGTTAAGGCCAGATTGTGAGCTGAGCATCAATGTTTCATGTTCTTTGTTTCATAAGGGATAAATAAAATGCTTTTTTTCCTGAGCTGAAAGTGTCTAATGCCTATTAAAATGTGCCATCTCTGATTTATAATTGTATTTATCCTTCATATCATGCTCTTATTATTTGCCTGTATGTTTCCTCTCACCTGTGTCAATCTCAGTAGGGCCTGTTGGCATCTTTGGGCCTCTTCAGCTGCACTTTGAGCCTCTTCATGCCGATCTGAAAGCCGTTCATGGCCTGGATGGCCGTCTGAGCACTCGCTGGATTATCAAAGCTCACAAAGCCTGACAATAAGAAGAGATGAACAGAAAAACAGCGAGAGGTCATGAAAAAAATGTACATAGGTTTAGGATGTAGTATGAGTCGGGACTAGTAAAGCATGACGCTTACAAAGGCAGGACTGTGTATTCACATGTTGTACAGCACACACACACACTGAGCCTAATATGCAAATTCTCACCGAAGCACTTGCTTTGATTGGTTGCCCGATCCACAAACACTTTAGCAGAAATGACGTTGCCGAAAGGCAGAAACATCTGGAGCATTTCTGAGTCAGTGAACTCTTGAGGTAAATGGTAAATGAAGACATTACAGCCCTCAGGACCTGCACCACACACACACACACACACACTCGATGTTAGCTTCGCGAACACATTGTGAGAAACTGCACATAATGCAATGCTTTAAGAAAGGGATTTATTATTAAATGAAGGGTAACCTAAGCGTCCTGTTTATCAAAGTAAGTGTAATTGTGGTCATTGATAGCGTGAGCACCTTCTCTCTGCAGCTGCTGTTGGCTGATCAGTGTGGGCTGCTGGAGGAACTGAGGGCTCACCAGTCCATATGCTGTCGGGTAAGCAGCTGTAAAACACAAACACACACACACACACACACACACACACACACACACACACACACACACACACACACACACTTTTACAAATGCTGACACAGAAAGATATAATCTGATCTGACACAACACACACACACACACACACACCTGTGTAATGCTGCATGCCTGCGTAGGCCTGTTGGAGCGGGTCTAACGCCGCCACTGGACTCTGGGCTGGAAAGAAGACAAACCAACTTTATTCTAGTGAACACAAACTAAAGGTCTTTGCACATTCATTTATTCATTTTCCTTCAGCTTAGTCACTTATTTATCAGGGGTCGCCACAGCAGAATGAACCGCCAACTTATCCACCATGTTTTTAGTAAATATGAAAAATATGAATATAAATAGCATATCAGAAAAAGGGAAGCAACAAATACTGGGTTGATGTTGATCCCCAAACACGGTAATATTTCCTTCAGTCTTCTTCCCTGTTCCTCACATTGAAGATGCAGGATCAGAGCGTATATTACTAAGATTAATTCAATAGGACATCACTTTTATAAATATGTCTCAGGGAAAATATTACCAGTGTGCAAAATATTTTAGCGCTTAATCAGTTAAATGCCTTTTAGACTGGAAAACGGGTCTGTAATACCAGGAAAAAAAATAAATATATGCTGTATTATTAATCTGCACTTGCCTATTTTTGATAACTGTGCTGTTAGATTATGATTTCATCATATCATTTAGATTTATTATATCATTTTTCCCCTCAGTTTTTCTTTGCCTGAAGGATAATGTTAGTTTTGTTTCATTTTCGCGGTCCAATTTCCAAAATATATCAGGTGTATAACAGGGTAGGCAATGGCCATGGCTGTGTCTGTGCATGGATTTGCAGTCTTGTGGTGACCGGTCGCTCTTACAGGTCACCTTGGAAGGATAAACTGGAACCGCGAGAACACATATGAGAAATGAGATGCTGCAAGCTTCCTGTTGATCACATGACCTTCACACGAAAAAAATTTCAACTTTAATAAAATTGTGATTTTTTTTAAGTGAAAATGTATGAATATTTAATTCAATTTAATTTAATTCAAAAAAATGCAAATAAAAACAATTTCAGCAAGGAAACAGCTTGCACCACAAGTGGGTTGTGGGGGCCCCCTAGTGGTGGTGGGGCCCTAAGCAGCCGCTTAGTTCGCTCATAGGGAGGGCCGGCTATGCACCACAGAATCAGAAGGTCCATAATTGACCATATTTGGATTGTGTCACGAATATTAATGAGCTCTACTCTGACGTGTCGCTATTACACACACATACATACACAGAGCATGATGTATGCTGAACATGGACAAATATACACCCAATCAGAGTTATGTTAACCTATTGTGCTCAGCAGATCTGCTGTGGATAAAGGATGAATCATAATTAAACTAGACAAAAGAGAGATGTCTTGTGTTGTATTGTGAAGCTACAGTCAAAGTAAACAGCCAGGAATTAATAACAGCCCCTGCATGAACAGATGACATTTGAGCTACACATGTTTGCTCAAACATACACATCAAATTTCACAATGAACGCCCTTAATTAACAAAAGAAAGAGTAAATAAACAGCAGGCGGAGGTTAAACCGCCTTGATAACCACCGCATTTTACACTTTTTGAATTCCTGTTCTTGCAGAACTCACTGCTCTGGTGTTTGGGGATTGTGTGTGTTAGATTTGTAATTCACCTTGATATGGATGAAGGCCATTGGTGTAGATTTCTGACGCTGGCTGTCCATTGGTTGTTGGTGGTAAGTGACTGTAGCCGTTCACTGCGATTGGTTGAGGCAGAGCTGACACGGGCGTGGCTGCAAGAGTGGGTGGAGTGTTTGCACCTGTAGCCAATCATAGAGCAGCGCAGAGGTTTGACTGACAGGTAGAAAGTAATGTTATAAACTGAGCTCAAGAAAAGAAGAGGACCACCCCAACCCTCAACCCAATGAGAAATATTTATTTTATTTAATAAATTACATATTAAATTGTATTTTATAAACGTCTACCCCTACCCAAAATCTGCCCATCACTTAAAAACAGTAATTATAACGTGAATTAATTATATTATTTAATAAATTACCCAATAAATTGTATTTATGAATGTCTAACCCAACCCCAACCCTCACAGTAAAGCCGTGTCACAAAAATGATGCTATATTGATGTGAATATCCCCAGCTGTATCCCCTCTAGACTTTACCAGCAGGGGGCGCCTATAGAAATAGATTTTTTTAAACATCTACCCCTGCCCGAAAACTACCCAGCACTCAAAAACAGTAATTATAACGAGATCCATTTATATTATTAATTAAAATACCCTTTTAATTGTATTTTATTAATGTCTACCCCTATCCGAAAACTACCTATCACTTAAAAACAGTAATTATAACAATAATTGTTTATATTATTTATTAAATTACCCTATAAATTGTATTTTAATAATGTCAATCACTACCCTAACCCCATAGTATTGGAAAAGATATGAATTATTGTTGTACAGTGTCCAAAAATTACACACAATTTAATTTTGAAACAGCATTTAAGACTTTTGAAACAGCATTTAGGGCCTTATATTTCTCTAAATTGATTCCTTAGCTTGTAATGTTTGTAAGAGTGATATGTTTAGGAGTTTGTGAGTGTGCTGATGGAGTGTGTACCGGATGGAGGTGTGATGGGTGTAGCAATGATGCCGCTGGCGTTGAGTGCTGCCATCTGCTGGATCTGCATTGATGCTGCGGGAGACAGATACTGAGCCTGGGCTACCAGAGCCTGCTGCTGGACCAGCTGACACACACACACACATCAAACACACACACACACATCACAGTGAGTTAATGATGGACAAGAGAAACCAGAGAGAGCCAAATTGAGCAGCTCTTCTACTTCAAATGCTTATTAATAAATATATTTAATTAGTTAGAGACTCTTGCATTACAAAAGTCTTGTGTTTACATCTTAGTTTTTATTTTATGATTACTTGACATTTAGCTTTTAAGTACTGGCCTTGATCCTTACTGTGTGTTTGTGTGTGTCTGTGTACTCACCGCTTGTGTGTAGGCATTATAAGCATTGAAGTTGAGCGTCACTGGAGTGTAGACGCCGAGCTGTGATGTGACCTGTTGCATGCGCCGCACACCGCGCTCCTTCTCTGTGTCTGCAAACTTCACCACCAGACTGGAGGAGGCGCCCTGATCACACACACACACACACATGTGCACACGCACACACACAGATCAGCTGATGGACATAGTAGTACAGTGTAGTAAAGTATAGTATAGTATAGTATAGTATTTTATGGCATAGTGTAGTATAGTAGATGGTATGCTATAGTATAGTATTGTATTGTATGGTATGATATGGTCATATGGTATAGTATAGTATGGTCGTATGGTATAGTATAGTATAGTATAGTATGGTATAGTATTGTATTGTATGGTCGTATGTTATAGTATAGTATAGTATAGTATAGTATAGTATAATATGGTCGTATGGTATAGTATTGTATGGTATAGTATAGTATAGTATTGTATGGTATATTATAGTATAGTATAGAATAGTATAAAATAGTATAGTATTGTATAGTATTGTATGGTATAGTATTGTATAGTATGGTATGGTATAGTATGGTATAGTACAGTATAGTATAGTATGGTATGGTATTGTATGGTCGTATAGTATAGTATTGTATGGTATATTATATTATAGTATAGTATAGTATAGTATAGTATAGTATTGTATGGTATGGTATAGTATGGTATAGTATAGTATAGTATAATATAGTATAGTATTGTACTGTATGGTATAGTATAGTATAGTATAGTATAGTATAGTATAGTATAGTAGGTGAATATAGGGTCTCACAGGTAGAGTCCGGCTCCCGTGCAGACTGTTGATGGCAGATTGAGCTTCTGAGTGACTCTGAAACTTCACAAACGCACAGCCTGAGAAAACACACACACACACACACATCATCAGCTTGAGTTTGATAAATTATATTTATATCTATATCTATATATATATATTTATATATCGACAATGATAAGCTGACACACAGGTGTTTGTAGCTCCGCCCTCTTCTGAAAAGAGCACAAGCTCATTTGAATTTAAAGCGACAACTAAGATCAAAGCCTAAAAGGGTCAGTTTCAGAGAGGTAGTGAACACTATCTGTGTGCTATTTTGAGATCAAACTTCACACACACTCTGGAAATGCATTTTACAGCTTATAAAAAGTGGCAAAAGAGATTCTTCAACATCTCGGATGACATTGGGGAGGGCAAATGCAAAGAGCTCTTCATTATGGAAAGGAACTGCAATGACTGAATGCATGTGCATGTGTGTGTGTGTGTGTGTGTGTGTGTGTGTGCGTGTGGTACAGACCTTTGCTGGTGCCGTCAGGTCCTCTAAGCACCGTACACTCATCAATACCGCCGAACGGCTCGAAAATCTTCCTCACGTCTTCATCCGACTGCTGCTTTCCCAACATGCCCACAAACAGCTTTCTGTCCTCTGCAAATAAACACAGGAGAGCGGAGAAATGACCATCAGTTACTCAGCGTCATCTATCTGAATTATTCAGCAGCAGCACATCAACACACTGCAAAGTCTGCCTTTCTTAGAGTTAGTGTCTTGTTTCTAGTCTAATTATCTACAAATCCTTAAATCAAGAAGCATTTTGTAGACAAGCAGAACTTATTGTCTTGTTCTCCGAAGTAATGAGTCAAAATTAAGAGTTTTTACCTTAAGAAATGCAAAATAATCTACCAATGGTGAAGGTGAAATAATATTATTAGATTGTTTTTCTGCATGTTGGCAGATTAATTTGCCAAGCTTTATAAATGCATAATTGATGACTTTAAGTAAAGTGACCGACTAATTATAATACTAATAATACTACTTCTAACCAGTACTGGGAAACACCCTTACACACTCACTCATACACTACGGCCAATTTAGTTGATCAGTTCCCCTATAGCGCATGTGTTTGGACTGTGGGGAGCACCCGGAGAAAACTCATGCCAACATGGGGAGAACATGCAAACTCCACACAGAAACACCAACTGACCCAGCCGAGGCTCAAACCGGCGACCTTCTTGCTGTGAGGCCACAGTGCTAACCACTGAGCCACTGTATCTTATTATTAGTAATGAAGTGACTTGGGAAGTAGCCAGGTTTTCCTTCAAGCAGTATCAGAATACAGTCTCAGAAGCAGTGTTGATTTGTAACTGAGAAAGTTTTTCTAACATTGCACTGCAGTAGGGTCTAAAGGAGGAAGAACAGAATTATAGGAGATAATCTAATAGCTCCATTTGGTAAACAGGCACTGGTTTTCCCACTATCAGTGATTTTCAGTGACATCACTAATCTTTTTTTTTACGTCATTTCCTGTCAGAAAAATCAGGAAGTAGAGCCGCATTAAACTGCCCTGCTCTCTAAATACAGCGTGAAGCTCTGCATGTTTTACATTTTTTGGCATTATCCCTATCTCAAGATCTGCAGGCGACTGAGCGAAACATAAGAGGTATGTTAACGGGAGAGTACTGTATGTTAAAGCACCTAGCTAATAAAATAAACACTCGCTTTAAGGGATTGCGGATGATTAGCATTGCATCATTTCTGATACTGAACCTGTCAGTAGTTCTTAATGTAAACAGAAGTATTGGTCTTAACCAATGTAATCACACGTGTAATATCTTCCTCTGTAGGTTTATTTGTTGAAGCTAAGCTTATGTGTTTGAGTTTAATAATGCATGCTAATGTATCATCATGCTAATAGTATACATTAATGTATACAGTATAATTAACATTAGTTGTTACTAGTGTTAGACTAAACAAACATGATCACATGTGCAACACTTCACTTTATGTTCATCGTTTATTCAAGCTAAGCTAATGTGTTTACGTTTAACAATGCATGCTAATTTACTGTCATGCTAATAGTTTGTTTATATAATATTTCCTGTAATGCTGGTGGTGGTGTTTATTTTGAATGAGCTCTTTTTTTAGCCTTCAGTCAGCTTCTGTTTAGTTTTCCCTGCTGAAAAATCCAGCTTAAACCAGCCTAGGCTGGTTGGCTGGTTTTAGGTGGTGAACCAGGCTGGTTTTAGAGGGGTTTTGGCCACTTCCAGGATGGTTTCCAGCCATTTCCAGCCTGGTCTTAGCTGGTCAGGCTGGGAGATGACCAGCTAAAACTAGCTTGACCAGCCTAGCCAAGCTGGGAGCCCAGCCAAAACCAGCTATTTCCAGCTTAAACCAGGCTGGACAAGCTGGTTTTAGCTGGATTTGGCTGGTCATTTTCCAGCCTGACCAGCTAAGACCAGGCTGGAATTGGCTGGAAACCAGCCTGGAAAAAGCCAAAACCCCTCTAAAACCACCCTGGTCAACCAGCTGAAACCAGCCAACCAGTCTAGGCTGGATTAAGCTGGATTTTTCAGCAGGGTTGGTTGAGTTCTTGAGAGATGTCTGCTCTTTATCCTGTGATGATAACACACAGTTAATTTAAGGTGTCTTTATGTCATGTATTAGAGCGTGCTGCGGCTCGTCCTGACGGCTCGTCCCGTCTTTAGAAGAGCTTCATCATGGATGCCATCAAACATGTGGCTGCCCTATTACTTGCACTCCTGTCCACTGCAGGTAGGACAATTCTTACTGTATATAAGATTATTATGTGGTGTCAAGGTGGCTCAATGGTTTGCATTGTGGCCTCACAACAAGAAGGTCACTGGTTCGAGTCCTGGCTGGGTCAGTCTGCATTTCTGTGTGGAGTTTGCATGTTTTCCCCGTGTTGGGGTGTGTTTCCTTCGGGTGATCCGGTTTTCCCTCACAGTCCAAACACATGCGCCATAGGGGAATTGATGAACTGGCCGTAGTGTATGAGTGTGTGTGTGTGAATAAGTGTGTATGGGTGTTTCCCAGTACTGGGTTGCGGCTGGAAAGGCATCTACTGTGTAAAACATATGCTGGATAACTTAGCGGTTCATTCCACTGCGGTGACCCCTCATAAATAAAGGACTAAGCTGAAGAATGTAAAATAAATGTTTGGATTTTACAGTAAAGGACTGTATTTCATGCATTTATACACCAATACATCATATGGATTGTTGTTTACAGTATGCATCGGTCAATCGCGCTTCTCGTCTGTCTGTTCAGTTCCAGGGGTCAGCCAGGGTCGTCGCTCAGACTTTGTCTTGCTGAAGGACTCATATATTTTCCCCTATAACGCCAGCATCTGCGATCACGCCAGGTGGAGTAAGAGTTTCCCTACAGATGCATCGATCGGCAGATACAGAAACCAGCTCTGCTCAATTGAATATAATTTTGGAGCAGATTTCAGCTGTGTTGGAAACTAGCTGCTCCTCAAAGAGGCAAAAAGCACTGATCGGGGCACCTATGTGTTTATCTGTAATGAGGCAGAAAGTCAACTTAAACTCAATGTCTTGTGTAAGTATACAGCATGTTATTGATACACTACCAGTCAAAGCTCATGGTGGGAATAATTCAGATTCTCACTTGTGGATTAAATCATTAAAAACATTTTAATATCCCTGAAAAAGAACATAATTCCTTTTAAAGGTGAATCTTGTCAAACTATATAAACAAATAAATAAATAAAAAATAATTGAAATAAAATTTTAAATAACGGTTAAAAATAAATTACAGAATTAAACATTTACAAACTACAAACCACAAAAATGCAATGTTTTCAACACTAAAAAATTATCTAAAAATGTTTCATAATAATCAAATCAGCATATTTAAAAAGAAGATTTTTTTTCTCAATTTATTTTAGATTTATTGGGCTAATAACTTTTTTGCTAACACCTTATAATAACTGCACACTATAAATCATTTATTAAGCAATAGCAAATGGTGAATTCATTATCGGTTAAGCATTAACTTTACATTAATAAGCCTTAGTAAGCAGTTTATAACTGCAGATACAAATGCTGCATTATTGACTTATAACCACATGTATAATGTGCTTAATAATTGTACTTTCATACTTTGTTACTGATGAATTTTTCATGACTAAATTACAGTAAGTAATTACAAGCCTTTTGTACTAAAGAGGAGTTTAGATCCAGATTAAGGAACGGCATCATACCGTCCAGTAACATTTGTTTTAAAGACCAAATGCAGCCATACGTTCCTCTGGCTACATAATTCAAGCTCCCCAGAAATGTAAATAGGGGTATGTTTTCAGAATGAGTATATGTGGCAGAATTGGGACATGGAGCGAATCAGGGTTTAAGTTCGGTGAAAGATGGCTCCAGAAACCTTAATAATAATAATAATATATATATATATATCTGGACAGAAATGAAAAAAAAAGAAAATATTTTGGATAGCCATTGCATATTGGTTTAATGATGTAAAATCTAAACAGCCTTGTGTATTTATGAATCCTGTAATAGTTGATAAAATATTTTAAATAGTGCTTTGACCATCACTAAATATTTTCATTGTAATCATACAACTTGATATAAAACTAAATCCAAGTGTGAATTTGGGGTTATAGCATGCTGCTACTAGTTTGCTTTTGACAACACTATCAGTTGGGTTTAGGGAAGGTGGTGTGTGGGTCAGTCCATATCAAGCTAATATATTAAATAAATAAACCCAGGTAAACATGAGACTTAAAAAAAAAACATTTAAAAAATGTGTCAATATTTGTGTAAATTTTCCCCTACAGATGCTCTGAAGGTGGACAAAGTGGAGACAGAAGACGTCACTTTAGACTGTACTGCGCTCAGTGACAAAGACGTGACGTGGCTCTTCAATAACGGGACAGCTCTCCATTATGAAAAGGGTGGAGTAATAACCCCTGGGAAAGGCTTCGAGGGCAGAGTTTCAGTGGAGAAGGATTGCTTCAGGACCGGCAATTTCTCCCTGACAATCACTGACCTCCACAGCACAGATGAGGGGGTTTACCGCTGTTTTGTAGACCAGGACACCACTGAAGGATACCCGCACACGTACAAGCTGCATGTCAACAGTACGTCCAGTCCAGTCTCATTTTCAGCTTATTGGCGTTATATTAATGAACTATAATTTAAAGGCAATTGACTAGTTAGCTTTAATTTAGATTTGAGTTTAAATGCTTTCTTACACTATATTGTGTGCTTTGTCTTTTTTAAATGCCTTTATAAAGTAGTTATTTGAATGTGTGTGTGTGTGTGTGTGTGTGTGTGTGTGTGTGTGTGTGTATATATATATATATATGAAGTCAGAATTATTAGCCCCCCTTTATATTTCTTTCCCCAATTTTGTTTAATGAGAGAAGTTTTGTCAGCACATGTCTAATCATAATAGTGTTAATAACTCATCTCTAATATCTGATTTATTTTCTCTTTGTCATGATGACAGTAAATAATATTAGACTAGATATTCTTCAAGACACTTCTATACAACTTAAAGTGACATGTAAAGGCTTCACTAGGGTAATTAGGGTAAAGTTAGGGTAATTAGGCAAGTTATTGTATAACAGTGATTTGTTCTGGAGACAATCCAACACTAATATTGCTTAAAGGGGCTAATACTATTGACCTTACAATGGGTTTTTAAACAATTAAAAGTTGCTTTTATTCTAGTTGAAATAAAACAAATAAGACTTTCTCCAGAAGAATAAATATTAGAGGAAATACTGTGAGAAATTCCTGAATCTGTTCAACATCATTTGGGAAATATTGGATATATATATATATATATATATATATATATATATAATTTTTTCTGACAGTATTTTAGCTTAGCTGGAATAAAAAATAAATAAATAAAAAATAAATAAATAAATAAATAAATAAATAAATAGTTTTAAGAGCAATATTAATATCCAACCACGTGCAGAGACTTTGTCGCAAACTGAAAAGTGGGGGGTGAGGGGAATGGGGTGTCGCGGGGGCACTTCAGATGATTTTGGAAGAGCACTTTCTATCCAAGACTGAAAATGTTAAAAATGCAGTGCACAGGTTGAGCCCTATGCGTGCACGTGCCTGTTAATTGTTTGTTGTGCGATTGTGCGATTATTTAAAATTTAATCGCAATCGCAATTTGAAAAGGCCACAATATATATATTTATATAATAAATATGTATATATATAATTTAATTTCCCAGAGCATGTGTGAGTGAGCACACTTTTGTTCTGCTCAATCAGAATTGTGCAACCGAACTACACCCACAATACAAAAAAGAAAACAAACAGTAAAGTGCTGACAAGTGGGATGATGGCATCTGCTGCTGCTGCTGCTGCAGAAGCCTCAATAGACAAATTAATGTAAAAAAAAATTGCATTTATAATATGGGAATATTTTGGTTTCAAAGTCACGGAGACTGAACAAAAACAGATCACTTTTAAGAGCTGTCACAGATTTGCTGCCACGGCTGAAGCTTGAATGAAATTAAAATCAGCTTGAAGTCTGAATTGAAATCGCATTATCTGTCAAAACCATCTCAATTAGATATTTTCCCCAAAATGCACAGCCCTACCCCTCAATATATATTTATTTTCGATTGGCTGCAAAACAAAGCACTGTTGTCCAATCACTTGCCTAACACAATCAGCCTACACTGTAAAACATGACTCAAGCTGACCTGATTAACTTATTAAAATACGTTAAAGCAACATAATAAAGATGTATTGCCCTGACGTTTTGTCATTAATTTATTTTACAGAGTGTGTGTGAACAAAAATAAAATAAACAATAAAATTATACAAGTAGTTCTCAAGGATCGTTTTTCTTCTACTTTTTTTTTTTAATCTGTAGAGTTTTAAATCTGCATCATTTTTGTTGTTCTGCGTCTTATTTTAACTGTTGTTTTGATTCCTTCAGAGAAACAGGACCAGACAGACTCCACCGGGACTGAAGCATCTGATTATAAGACCATCATCATCATCATCATTTTGGCTCTTATCGTGGTCATCTTGATCATCGGCATTTCAGTTTTGGGGATTCTCTATCACAAAGCATGCAGTCAGATTCAGAAGAGTGTACCAGATAATACACAAACTTCTGAAACTGAACACATGCCTCTATATGACAACACAACACCAGCCAATAACATTGCTCCATTAATAGAGCTTTCTGTTCAGGAGAGCAACACAATGAAACCTGACAGCAGCGTTAAGACATTTTACACTGCAGGATGAACCCTGTAAAATGTCTGCCCTTCAAAATCCAGCATTACACCCTATGATTAGCTTCCTGAAAAAGTGAATTTTATTATTATGCTAATTTTTATAAGAATTTATTTGTTATTTTTATGAGAAATGGGACCTTGTTTACATCCCCATGACAGTAAATCTACATTACCACAGCCAGCATTCAGCTACAAATATAGCTCACATGAGCATTCAATAGAGAAGGGGTGGGGGAACAATACAGCATACAGCGCAGTAATAATTTAATTCACTAGATGGCGGTACAGTTTAGAGGTTCAAGCAAATAGTTCAACCTAAAATAAAAATTACCCAATAATAATAACATTTGTGGGTTAAGTATTCAATTAAAGATAAAAGGGATACACCTGCAGCTATTGGGCATGATGCACACATCAATACAGCACAAGATTGAGCCATTGCACAACAATAACTACTGTTTTTGCATTACTGTAGGAGTAGGTTTAGGGTTGGGGTTGGTAAAGCACAATGAATCTTATTCATTTATTATTTTCCTTCAGCTTAGTCTATTTATCAGTGGTCACCACAGCGGAATGAACTGCCAACTATTCCAGCACATGTTTTACACAGCAGATGGCCCCACAGTGAACAAAGTCCTGCCCTCTTCTAATAGCCAATCACGATTCTTTATAGCCACACGTTCATTTGGGGAAGCAAAACTACATCTTCCTGTTAAAACTCTGGACCAGTATTGTATTTCTTTCACCAGTGAAAGCTCTTAAAGGTGTCAGCCTTCTGTTCTATTATTATTTGCCAATGTGTTATTGTGTATATATTTGCATTAATGTGCATCAAATTCAACGTACGAATGTGCTTTAATTTACGCAGAAAGCTTTGCGTGCAATTTTCTGATGCAATATTACTTGTGTGAAAGTAAACTCTAAAAACGTGTGACAGATAATGACTCATCATCATTTCTCTCTGTGTATTTCTCTCCGTGTACTCACCGGCCACTTTATTAGGTACACCTGTCCAACTGCTCGTTAACGCAAATGTCTAATCAGCCAATCACATGGCAGTAGCTCACTGCATTTAGGCATGTAGACATGGTCAAGACGAGCATCAGAATGGGGAAGAAAGGGGATTTAAGTGACTTTGAACGTGGCATGGTTGCTGCTGCCAGACGGGCTGCTCTGAGTATTTCAGTACATATAATTTTGGACATATATAATATAAGGTAATATGAGATAACAGGTGATTTACCTCCTCTCCCTTCACTGTCTGCAGGCTTCACCTGGATGGGTCGGTTCATCTGAAACACAATAATCAAAGCTTTGTTCATAAACGTGTTTAGATTATTTAAATTATGCAGAACCTCTCAGATTCATCAATGAAATAAAACTGAACACAGGACAGCAACAGTTTTACAGCGGTGTTTCTGTATAGTCACAAATCTCAGCGGTTTTCCTACAATAAAATGAAAACACTTTCACAAAGACACAGAGATCTGTCGCCATCTGCTGGTTATCATGTAGAAACAGCAGCTGTCTCTATGGGGACTTCGATGTATTGATATTCATTCCCTTATCCATTTTCCTTCGGCTTAGTCCACAGGTGTCAAACTCAGTTCCAAAAGGGCCGCAGCTCTGCACAGTTTAGTTCCAACCCTAATTAAACACACCTGATCAAACTAATTGAGTCCTTCAGGCTTGTTTGAAACCTACAGGTGAGTGTGTTGGAGCAGGGTTGGAACTAAACTGTGCAGGGCTTCGGCCCTCCAGGAATTGAGTTTGACACCCCTGGCTTAGTCCCTTTAGTCGCCACAGCGGAATGAACCGCCAACTATTCAAGCATATGTTTTACACAGCGGATGCCCTTCCAGCTGCAACCCAGTACAAGGAAACACCCATACACACTCATTCACAAACACACACACACACACACACAGTTGATCAGTTCCCCAATAGCGCATGTGTTTGGACTGTGGGGGAAACCGGAGCACCCTGAGGAAACCCACACCAACACGGGGAGAACATGCAAACTCCACACAGAAACACCAACTGACCCAGCGGGACTTGAACCAGTGACCTTCTTGTCATGAGGCCACAGTGATAACCACTGAGCCACTGTGCCGCTCTGTAATGAATTTTCTACTGTAAAAACTGTATATTTCCCCCCCCCCCCCCAACTCCTAAACTATAGAAAACAATCATTTACATTTTTTAAATATTTAATTTTATGTGTGATTTAAGAGTCTATTTAATAATAGCCACTAATAAATCCCCACAAAGAAAAAAATAATTGTATTGTTATATTTGAGGAAACTAAAAGGTAACTAAAATGTAATGAACACAAGAACCACACAATGTAACCCACACACACAATGTCAAAATCTACTGGTATTGCTATATATGTGGGGACACACACACGCACAACACAAAAACACATTATTCCTACACTCTCAGAAATAATGGTGGGTGAGCTGTCACTGGTGTGGTTATTTTCAAAAGGCACAAATTTGTACCTTAAAGGTCCATAAATAATACCTCAAGGGTAGGCCCGGTTAGCAAGTCAGTGCGGCTTCTGTGAATGTACTACTACACCCTTTAAAATGATCAAATTAGCCTAGCCTACTGTAATTTTACCACTTTAAAGGGTGCAGTACATTCATGGAGACCTGACTGACTCACTACAGGTGAGATTTTATTCATATTGTCATTCATAATTGTACAGTACACAAATATTGAAGATACATATTTACAGTAAGTCTGATCACATGACTCTATACTTGTGTACATTTATTCTGGCTCTGATTAAAGTGTCTTTGAGGAAAAGAGATGATTAAAAATAAACCCTGATATAAAGGTTAAATATCCCCCTGAGTGAGAGTTTTCTGTGTTGAATAAAGTGTGTGTCCTCGGGCCGGGAGCTGTCAGCACTCATCATAATCCTGCTGGATGAGGAGTTCATTTAAACACATCTGCAGGGATTATGGGTAATCTCCCACATTCACACATTAGTAGATTTTCATGCACTCTCACACACTGATCGACCAACAAAACACACACATACACTTATCCATACATACACACATACACAGACACACGCACACACAAACACAAATATGTATGCGAGCACACTGCGGTTGGGCATCTAAGCTATAATGCCGATCCGATACGCATCTCGATACAAAGAATACGATCCGATATATTAGCGATACATTTGTGACATATTGCGATGCAACACGATACGATTCACACCCATATCACGATACGATGCGATATTTCAGCATTAACTAATTAGATCAAGTTTATGAGATGATGTGAAAGAGGATGCTGTGCCATTGAATGAGTTTGATTATTTATTAACCAAGCAAAACCAAGACTTTTTTTACAAACTGGCTTTTCTCTCAGAGCCAGAGTGTCAGTTTACAGTAGAGGGCCATTTTAGAGCATATAGCACATATTATTGAAGTATTTTCAAGATAAACAGAATGTATAAGTGCAATATATATTATAAATGTATATATTTGCACTCTTTCAACATAAATAAATTTAGCATTGCAAAACAAGAATTGTGATTTAACTTTTCAACTATGAAAACAAGTTTTACAAAGATATTTTGCCAATGATTATTCAAAACTTAAGGTGGTGAACTAGCAGTGTTATGCTGCTTTCAAACATCACTGTCACTGTAAACAACAGGCTAATAAAAATATAACAAACCAGCAATCTTCTTGCTGTGAGGTGGTCAAACTACCCACTGTGCCACCCATTATTTTTATCATTATTATTATTAATATTATTATTATTATTATAATTAAATAAAAATTAACAGGAGGAGGTGTTTAAAACCTTCGTTCTCCGTGACACTAGGCTGAATATCTTTGCAGATGAACAATGCAATAGCATTCGTTATTGGCGTAGAGCGCACAAAACTGTTGCGCATGGAAAAAAAACTTGCAATGCTTTTCTCACCACTTTTGGAGCTGGTAGCTACAGTTAAAGCAGAGCAGGAAGCCGGGGATGCAGGAACACTGGAAGATGCTTTCACAACAACACCGTGGCGCCGCTTCAAGTGAGATATCAGATTAGTCGTACTGCCCGCGTATTTTACAGATGCGCGGCACATTTTGCAAATTGCATCTGTCCTGTCATGTCGTCCATCCTTAAATCCATAATGTTGCCATACTTTAGATTTAAAACTCAGTGGGGAATAAAATGTTTGTTTTGCTTCTCGCGCTTTCTGAGGGCGCTCCACTAGCTTCATCCGCACACCTGATACACTGAGTTGTAGTAAGTGTACACATCCGCAAATCCGTTGCTAAGGCTTACTTTATGTAGGTCGATTAAATTATGCGCCAAAAACAGGTTGACAACACTTGTTAATAAATAAAAAATACATTCTATATTAAAAATATAAGCTGTATCTCGGAAAAACCGATGCATCTCGATTTGCTTCCAAAATTTCATTCATCCTCTGATGCTCAACCGATGCACTCGCATCGAGCACGCGCATGACCGCGTATCGATACATATCGGTTAATCTTCCCATCCCTAGAGCACACACTAACACACATATACGCACAACAATAATATACACACACACAAACACGTATGTACATATATACATATATACACACACACAAACACACACACACACACACACACACACACACACACACACACACACACACACACACACACACACACACACACACACACACACACACACACACCTAAATGCAAACACACATGTATATATATATTTACACATATACATATACACAAACATACACACATACACACACACACGTACATGCAAACACACACACATATATATGCACACCCACACACAAATACATATTTATACATATGCACACACAAACACACACATATAAATATATACACATATACACAAACACACACACACACACACACACACACACACACACACACACACACACACACACATACACATACTGTATAAACACACACACATAGGTGTACACACACACACACACACACACACATACACACACACACACACACACACATACACATACACATACTGTATAAACACACACACACACACACACACACACACACACACACACACACACACACACACACACTGTAAAGCTGGACCCTGCAGTGATTCTCAGAGGATTTGTGCTGGATTATGGACTTTTAAATCTCAGGATTATTCAAATAAAGTGTGTTTTACCCTCCGACTTTAGCCAATGAGGAGACGTGAAGCAAACCATCTCCCTGCGGAGCGATGAACCGATGATTATTTTTCACACTGGATTATAGATTATACACACACACATGCATACACACACTCTCTCACATACATACACACATAAAACCATACAGACACACACACACACACACACACATTTCCATTCCACATTAGTCACTTGTTGCATCAGTCATGTTCCCTAGCAACCTTCCATCTGCTCAACTGTATCTAAGCAATGATCTTGCTCTTCTGATGCTTCCTGTTGTGTGTGTGTGTCTGCATATGTGAGTATGTGTGTGTGCATGTGCCAGTGTGTGTGTGTTTGTCGATGTGTGTACGAGTATGTGTGTGTCAGTGTATGTGTGTGTCTGTTTTATTGTGTGTGTTTGTGTGTGCTAATGTGAGTGTGTATGTGTGTGTACAGGTTTATGTTGTTCATGGGGACACACAATTGTATAATAAAATGGGCTACTTGTACTCTATTAAGGATGTTTATAGTTCATGTTTGTTTTTGTATGTGTGTGCATATGCGTGTGTGTGTGTGCGCATGTGTGTGTGCGCGCAACATTCGAAACAAAATAAAATGCTCATTTAGGACAAACAACACCCCGAACAATAATAATAAATCAATCTAATATCAAAATATCACAAGTAGAATATTAAATCAAATTAAAATGACAATAAAATGACAATAAAATAACAGTTATATTCCTTTTTAATTTAATTTAAATAAAATAGAGAGTGAAAAGTGTAAAATGTAAAATGAAGGTTGGTCGCATTATTCTAACACTCCGCTGTGTTTCTGTCATTTAATTTACAGGATTAAGCGCAGCAGAGACCAGATGAGCAGCAGGTTTATCATACGTTATAAAGACACACACTCAGAAACACACTCCTGAAACAGATGCTGCCGTGGAGATCATCAGAAACTAAAAATAAGCTTAGAAGCAGAGAAACGTGCATCAGTTTAACCCTGCACACACAGACAGCTGTATCTCTCTCACTAACATCAAGATTTATTTCTGACCTCTGATCTCTGCACAGGCCGCATTTTTCCCTTTATTCACTCCAAATCTCAAATTCACTGATTTTTTCCTGATTTTCAATGACTGAAAGCTGAATTTTCCTGATTTACAATAAATAGAAAAACCAACCCAGACTCTTTCTGATTATGTACCTCTGTATGCATATCTGCAGAACGCCTAATACATCCCAGGAGGTACGTTTTTTCAGTTTTTGTTTTCGCAAATCCAAAAGCGCAAAACGCTTTTTCAGATCTCAAATTTCTCATTCCAGTGCCATTCAAGCCTGCTGTTATCACGTAAATCCACCAGAGGCCGCTGTGGACTGACTGACTGACTACCTGACTGACCAATCCCTTTACCAACCCCCTTCCCTAAACCCAACCGACAGTGTTTTCAAAAGCACAGACTGACCCGCCCACCCCCTTCCCTTAACCCAACCGATAGTGTTTTCAAAAGCACTGACTCACCAGCCCACCCCTTCCCTTAACCCAACCGATAGTGTTTTCAAAAGCACTGACTCACCAGCCCACTCCCTTTCCTTAACCCAACCGATAGTGTTTTCAAAAGCACTGACTCACCAGCCCACCCCCTTCCCTTAACCCAACCGATAGTGTTTTCAAAAGCACTGACTCACCAGCCCACCCCCTTCCCTTAACCCAACCGATAGTGTTTTCAAAAGCACTGACTCACCAGCCCACCTCCTTCCCTTAACCAACCGACAGTGTTTTCAAAAGCACCAACTAACTCGCCCACCTCCTTCCCTAAACCCAACCGACAGTGTTTTCAAAAGCACAGACTGACCCGCCCACCCCCTTCCCTTAACCCAACCGATAGTGTTTTCAAAAGCACTGACTCACCAGCCCACCCCCTTCCCTTAACCCAACCGATAGTGTTTTCAAAAGCACTGACTCACCAGCCCACCCCCTTCCCTTAACCCAACCGATAGTGTTTTCAAAAGCACAGACTGACCAGCCCACCCCCTTCCCTTAACCCAACCGATAGTGTTTTCAAAAGCACTGACTCACCAGCCCACCCCCTTCCCTTAACCCAACCGACAGTGTTTTCAAAAGCACCAACTAACTCGCCCACCTCCTTCCCTAAACCCAACCGATAGTGTTTTCAAAAGCACTGACTCACCAGCCCACTCCCTTTCCTTAACCCAACCGATAGTGTTTTCAAAAGCACTGACTCACCAGCCCACCCCCTTCCCTTAACCTCAACCGATAGTGTTTTCAAAAGCACCGACTGACCCGCCCACCCCCTTCCCTTAACCCAACCGATAGTGTTTTCAAAAGCACCGACTGACCCGCCCACCCCCTTCCCTTAACCCAACCGATAGTGTTTTCAAAAGCACTGACTCACCAGCCCACTCCCTTCCCTAAACTAATTCTGTGATCACTGAATTTAACGCAAAATTAAGCAAATGGAAAAAAAAATACAGGAAAACTTAAATGGAAGCACTTTTAGCTTAGCTTAGCATAGATCATTGAACCGGATTAGACCATTAGCATCTCGTTCAAAAAATTCTGAAGCAATCAGTGTCGGGGAAAGTTACTTTAGCATTACTATACTGAGTTACTCTCTATTAAAGTAGCTGGTTGCGTTATTGAGTTGCTTTTTATGGTTACGTTACTTGTTACTTTTGCGTTACTTTTTCTGACCTGGCTGAGGCTTGATCGATTATGTGTGTGTGTGTGTGTGTGTGTGTGTGTGCATTATTTTGGAGCAAAAGCCTTTGTTATGCTTAATGGTCACTAATTACAGTTGCACTAATATGTTTGTGATTTATGTCCCCACTAACACACACCCAAGGTCTAATTAGTGACTGATTTATAGCATCATAAAAGCATAAACATGCCACACACACACACACACACACACACACACACACACACACACACACACACACATACACACACATACTAACAAATACACTCGTACAGACAAATCCATACACTCACACTAATACACACAAATATAAATACAAACACACACACACATATATAAACACACACACATAATCACAAACACACACACAGAAACAAACACACACACATAAACACACATGTCGACTGTAATATAGTTATCATCCATGTTTATTCACGTCATTCATTCATTTTCTTTTCGTCACAACGGAATGAACCGCCAACTTATCCAGCAAGTGTTTTATGCATCGTGTTTATGCCCTTCCAGCTAAACTCCTGTACTTGGAAACACCCATACACACTCATTCAAACACACACTCTCATACACTACGGCCAATTTAGCTCATCAATATAGCGCATGTGTTTGGACTGTGGGGGAAACCAGAGCCGGAAACCCACGCCAACACAGAGAGAACATGCAAACTCCACACAGAAATGCCAGCTGACCCAGCCAGGACTTAAACCAGCGACCTTCTTGCTGTGAGGCGATCGTGCTACCCGCTGCACCACCATGACACCTCATTCATGTTTCCAGTCGTTATTATTGTTCTGTACTACAGCTATTGTCTGCTGATATGGCTGTTCCTTTAGTTATTATGATAGTTTTTCATTATCAGCATCGTTACTCGGTTATATTTTGACTATAATGATCTATATGAACAAAAGAAAAACAGAGTGGATCAGATCAGAGAGAGAAAAGTCTGATCTTCTGAAAGGTCATCCTGCTGTCACGCTGATAATAGGATTAATTACTGCGTTTCAGCCCACGGACGCTCCGTCCCCCTGTCAGCAAACACAGACTGCGTTCTGGGGCCCGTTTACAGTTCAGTGCTGGATCTCAGAGAGTCTGCGGCGGCTTGAAAAGGTGTAAGGAATAATCCAAATAATCTCTGCTGCTACACACAGCCCACTATAACCAGAGGAATAATCCAGACACAGAGAGAGAGAGAGAGAGAGAGAGAGAATGCACTCACCCCTGGCAGTGTTTTCTGTTCATGAAGAGCACTCTGCGCTTTGACGGCTGACTCTCGTGCACAATATGTCAGAAAGGCGCATCCTAAAACAGAAAGACAGAATGTTAACATACACCGATGCTTTAGATAGATAGATAGATAGATAGATAGATAGATAGATAGATAGATAGATAGATAGATAGATAGATAGATAGATAGATAGATAGATAGATAGATAGATAGATAGATAGATAGATAGATAGATAGATAGATAGATAGATAGATAGATAGATAGATAGATAGATAGATAGATAGATAGATTTATATACACTATATACACTCACCGGCCACTTTATTAGGTACAACTGCTCGTTAACTCAAATTTCTCATCAGCCAATCACATGGCAGCAGCTCACTGCATGTAGGCATGTAGACATGGTCAAGAGGATCTGCTGCAGTCCAAAGCAAGCATCAGAATGGGAAAGAAAGGGGATTTAAGTGACTTTGAACGTTGCTGCCAGACGGGCTGCTCTGAGTATTTCAGAAACTGCTGATCTACTGGGATTTTCACGCACAACCATCTCTAGGGTTTACAGAGAATGCTCCGACAAAGAGGAAATATCCAGTGAGCGGCAGTTCTGTGGGCACAAATGCCTTGTTGATGAGGCCAGAGGTCAGAGGAGAATGGCCAGACTGGTTCCAGCAACAGTAACTCAAATAAGCACTCGCTACAACCGAGCTCTGCAGAAGAGCATCTCTGAACACACAACACGTCCAACCTTGAGGCGGATGGGCTACAGCAGCAGAAGAGCACACCGGGTGCCGCTCCTGTCAGCTAAGAACAGGAAACTGAGGCTACAATTCACACAGACTCACCAAAACTGGACAATAGAAGATTGGAGAAACGTTGCTGCTCTGATGAGTCTCCATTTCTGCTCACACATTCGGATGCTCGGGTCAGAATTTGGCCTCAACAACATGAAAGCATGGATCATCCTGCCTTGTATCAGCGGTTCAGGCTGGTGGTGGTGGTGTAATGGTGTGGGGGAGATTTTCTTTGGGTGCATTAGTACCAATTGAGCATCAACGCCACAGCCTACCTGAGTATTGCTGCTGACCATGTCCATCCCTTTATGAGCACAGTGTCTTTATCTTCTGATGGCTACTTCCAGCAGGATAACACACCATGTCATAAAGCTCAATCATCTCAGACTGATGAACATGACGATGAGTTCACTGTACTCAAATGGCCTCCACAGTCACCAGAGCTCAATCCAATAGAGCAGCTTTGGGATGTGGTGGAACGGGAGATTGGCATCATGGATGTGTAGCCGACAAATCTGCAGCAACTGCATGATGCTATCATGTTAATATGGAACAGAATCTCTGAGGAATGTTTCCAGCACCATGCTGAATCTCTGCCACGAAGGATTAAAGCAGTTCTGATGGCAAACGAGGGGCCAAACCGGGTACTAGTAAGGTGTACCTAAAAAAAGTGGGCAACACTTAAATAAATAAAAAATACATTCTATATTAAAAATATAAGCTGTATCTCGGAAAAACCGATGCATCTCGATTTGCTTCCAAAATTTCATTCATCCTCTGATGCTCAACCGATGCTCTCGCATCGAGCACGCGCATGACCGCGTATCGATACATATCGGTTAATCTTCCCATCCCTAGAGCACACACTAACACACATATACGCACAACAATAATATACACACGTATATTAAATACGTAAAGTGGCCGGTGAGTGTAAATATGGATATTCAGCATCATTTCACATGAGAAGTTACAGAAATGTAATTTCACACTCATTACATTTTCCCAGCAAGGCTTTTGGGATAACTTGCGTTTAACTCCCTCTCTCTCTCTCACACACACACACACACACACACACACACACATACACACACACACACACACACAGCTGCACAGAAATCTGGGAGCCAAGGCTTAAGGCTCCATTTCTCTGATTGAAAACGCTGTGTGCATAAGTACTTGGTAAAAAACACACTACTATAGAACTGTGTGTCTGTGTGAGTGTGTGTGTGTGTGTGTGTGGGTGTTTAAGCCAGTGTTACTTTAGCATCAATGATGTACTATTATAGAGTATATACTGTACATTCATTCATTCATTTTCTTTTCAGCTTAGTGCCTTTATTCATCAGGGGTCGCCACAGCGGAATGAACCGCCAACTTATCCCGTATATGTTTTACGCAACAAAAGAATTAGCTGCAACCCATCACTGGGAAACACCCATACATTCTCACTGACACACATACACTATGGCCAATTTAGTTGATCAGTTCCCCTATAGCGCATGTGTTTGGACTGTGGGGTAAACCGGAGCACCCGGAGGAAACCCCCACCAACACGGGGAGAACATGCAAACTCCACACAGAAATGCCAACTGACCTAGACGAGGCTCGAATCAGTGACCTTCTTGCTGTGAAGCGAGCACCACCGTGCTGCCTTCATAAGTTCATAGTAACATTTAATTTACATATTAGTATGTCACTACTGTGATGCAACCGTTATTGTAAAGTGTTACAATATTAGATGCAGGCATGTTCTCCCCCTTAAGTCTTCCTCGCTTTATCATCACAGTGACCTCAAAGCACTAAGAAATCCATGATTAAATCCCGGACGAGCCCCCAAACAGAGTTCATATAAGCCTGTACAGCACTGGAGTGTGAGCGAACACCCAGAGCACTCGACCCCAGAGCAGAAGCAGAGCAGGAGATGACAAGAGACTGAGCTTTCTCCCTCTGTATAGTAGCACAGAGCCGTGCAGCATCAGGCTTGAAGCTCCCGCAGGCATGTGCTGCTTTCATTAGCGTACAACACACACTCACACACACGTATCCAAGAGGTCTGAGCACGTGCACTGCAAATATTTCATTCATTTTCCTTCAGCTTCCCTTTATTTATTAGTGGTCGCCACAGCGGAATGAACCACCAACTATTCCAATATATGTTTTATGCAGCGGATGCCAATCTAAACACCCATACACACTCATTCACACACTATGGTCAATTAAGTTCATCAATTCCCAATAGCGCATGTGTTTGGACTGTGGGGGAAACCGGAGCGCCCGGAGGAAACCCACGCCAACACAGGGAGAACATGCAAACTCCACACTGAAATGCCAACTGACCCAGCCGGGACTCGAACCAGTGACCTTCTTGCTGTGCAGTGCTAACCACTGAGCCAGCGTCTCTTTCTCCTGTTGAGCACAACGAAGTTATTTCGAACAATGTTGGCACCAATTGACCTCCATAATAATTGTAGTCATTTCCTACTATGAAAGTCAATGGGTGCCGACAACCAGCATTCTTCAGAGTATCTCCTTTTCTGAAGCTCAATCAGGTTTAAAACCGCACGAGGCAGAATAAATGAGCTGATTTTCATTTTTTGGGTGAACTGTCCCTTTAAATGACTCTGTTTATGCAAATGCACACTGTTAACACGTGCGTGTGTCGTGACTGGGAGTGTGCTCAGCTGTGCGTGCGTGTCTCTTTACCTTTGTGCATGCCCGTGTACTTGTCCTTGATCACAGTCAGCTCGTAGATCTTGCCGTACTGCTCGAAGATGGGCTTCAGGTCCTTTTCCTCCAGGTTTCGCGGGATCTGCCCGATGAAGAGTTTGATGGCGTCCGGCTCCTTCATTGGGTCGCTGGCGATGGAGGGAATAACAGAGGCACTGGAGGAGAGAGAGAGAGAGAGAGAGCGACAGAGAGATTTGGATGTGCTTGTGGAGGAGGAGTGTGTGTAGGTGGGTGTGTGCGTGTGTGAGCAAAACACAATCAATGAATGGATGAATGGAGCTTCACTTTACACAGTGAAAAGAGGCAAACTGAAGCCTTCCTATGATTTTCTTTGTCAAGTATTTCCCAGATGATTTTGAACAGATTCAGGAATTTTTCACAGTATTTCCTATAATATTTTTTCTTCTGGAGAAAGTCTTATTTGTTTTATTTCGGCTAGTTTTCAAATTTTAAACACCATTTTAAGGTCAATATTATTAGCCCCCTTAAGAAATGTTTGTTTTGGATCGTCTGAGAACAGACCACTGCTATAAAATGGCTTACCTAATTACCCGACTTTAACCTTATAACCTAGTTAATCCTTTAAATGTCACTTTAAGCTCAATACTAGTATCTTGAAGAAAATCTAGTCTAATATATTGTGCTGTCATCATGGCAAAGAGAAAAGAAATCAGTTATTAGAGATTTTATTTGATAGATTTTTTATCTTTCCTTTAAGGGAAAATAAACAATTTATATTCAATTGATTTATTTTTAATGTAATTTTACATTTGTTTTATTTTTATTTTTGCAGTTGAGACAATCATATAATAGTAGTTGCAGTAAAAAAATATAATAATAATCTAAAATAGTGCTGGTAATTGTCTCCCTATGGTTTAATTATCTGCGCATCTCTTTAAAACACAACACAGGAAAGTGCAAAATACAGATATCAACATAAATTAATATATTTGATGTATTGTTGATTTATTATATCTTTTATTTAAATAGTAATTCATTTTAATTAGTTTATAATTAATTTTGGTTAATCTCACATTTAAATGAGATTTTAATTTAGACTTTTTATTTTGTTTTGTTATTTTGTTAGAGAGTATAATGTGACAGATAAACATTTTACAATGTGTTTTTACACACTGCAGTTAAAAAACGAAATAATAATATAAAATAATAATAATAATAATAATAATAATAAAATAATACTGCTAATAATAAAAACAACAACAACAACAACAATGATAATAATAATAATAATAATAATAATATTAATAATGATAATATAATAATAATAACAATGATAACAATATAATAATAATAATAAAATAATACTGCTAATAATAAAAACAACAACAACAACAATGATAATAATAATAATAATAATAATAATAATAATAATAATAATAGTAATATTAATAATGATAATATAAAAATAATAACAATGATAACAATATAATAATAATAATAATAATAATAATAATGATAATAATAATAATAATAATAATAATAATAATAATAATAATAATAATAATTAAAATATTTATAATTGTAATAACAATAACAATATTAATAACAATATTAATAATAATAATAATAATAATAATAATAATAATAACAATGATAAAAATGATAAAAATACAAAATAAAACTTGTAACTGTCCTCCTGGAGTTTATCATTTAATTATATGCACATTTACGTAAAACACTACAATGCAAAATTCAAAATACTTATAAATCTTATTGTGAAATATTGATTTTCATTAATCCAGTAACCTACATAGTGCCCTACTTTTTATGGATTTGTTTTAGAGTGCATGTCAACAAATGCATTAAACATTAGGAATTGTTAACATAATACTGCACACACAAATATAGCATATTTCAAATGACATCATCAGTGTGACCTAATGTACTCTGCAAGTCTTTTTAAATTGTATCTGACCTTTTAAGAATCTGTTTATGAATATTTACAATTACAGTTCATAACAACAAAGCAAGCATACAAGTGGATGAAAACATGATATTGTAATAAATCAGGCGACACATCAGAAATATTCCATTAAACCTTAAAATCTTAGTAAAAAGAAAATAATCCCACATTTTAACTTGTAATCATGTTTTCATTAAAGCATATTATTGATAAGGTATTTGAAATAACCTGTTGTGGTGATTCTACGATTACTATGGCAACACAACAACTGCAGTAATCAATCTGTTGTGGTGATTATATGGTCGTTATGGTAACACAATAACTATGGTAATGTATATGTTGTGGTGATTCTACAGTTGCTATGGCAACATAGCAACTATAGTAATTAATTTGTTGTGGCTATTTTATGGTTGCTATAGTAACACGACAACTATAGTAATAATCTGTTGTGGTAATTCTACAGTTGCTATGGCAACACAACAGCTATAGTAAATCTGTTGTGGTTATTTTATGGTTGCTATAGTAACACAACAACAATAGTAATAATATGTTGTGGTGATTCTGCTGTTGCTATGGTAACACAACACCTATAGTAATTAATCTGTTGTGGTGATTCTACAGTTGCTATGGCAACACAAAAACTAGAAATTGATCTGTTGTGGTGATTCTACGGTTGCTATGGCAACACAAAAACTAGAAATTGATCTGTTGTGGTGATTCTACGGTTGCTATGGCAACACAAAAACTATAGAAATTAATATGTTGTGAAGATTCTACGGTTGCTACGGCAACACTCAACTATAGCATTTAATATGCTGTGGTGATTTTACGGTTGCTATGGCAATACAACAACTATAATAATAATCTGTTGTAGTGATTCTACAGTTGCTATGGTAACACAACAACTATAGTAATTAATCTGTTGTGGTGAGTCTACAGTTGCTATGGTAACACGACAACTATAGTAATGAATCTGTTGTGGCGATTCTACAGTTGCTATGGCAACACAACAACTAAAGTAGCTAATACATGCAAATATAACCCAATACTGTAGTTTTCTACTAAATATAGCGTAAATATACCAAATTACAGCACCGTGTAGCTACTGTAGTGTTATTAGCTCATCTAATAGTTAATATTAAAGTGTTGTATAGAATCCATTAACAAATAGCGAATGTAAATGCTATAATACACACAGTAACACACTTTACACTATTCACTATAGTGCTTTTAATGTGGGATAAAACAACAGATATTGTCATGTGACAGGTTTTACACCATGTAAAAATACACTTAGCCGTAAAACCACGATGACATCTTTAGATAATAAGCAAAGAACGATCTTATTTCGCAACAACCGTTCTCAGATCAGCATAAATAAACGCATATATCTGCGCATCCTTTGTTTAGGCGCCGTCTTTGTCCGTCGGTATTACGGTCACACACGCACGCACGCACACACACACATACACACACACACACGCACGCACACTGATGACCACAGAATTAAAACAGCTCACCTGCTAGAAATGACTTCTACCGAGTAAATCCTCCGTGCGTTTCAGTCAGAGATTGAGCGCGATGTTTCCTCAGATCTGTCACTCAGGCATCCTCAGTGTGTTTGCCGCTCAGACAGACGCGCTGTTATTATTATAATGCTGCGATACGAGATCAGAAATCTGGGTTACTCCTGGGTTAGACGGGTCGGTGAGTCCTCGTGTCTCGTCGGCGCGGTTTACTACGTGTTTGTTCTTGTTTTCACATCTCTTAAAATAAACCTCGCCGTGACGTCACGCTGGTGTCTCCCCTCGTGACGTCACTGGCATTGGATCGTGCTCGGCTTTGTTAATGGCACAGAAGCGGAGCCTTCACATCAGTGCATCTTTAATCTTAATAGTGGGCAAGTGTTATATACATACGTGACAATTTACAAACCTTCTATAAATATTTGGCTTATATTATTTGTATAGCAAAATTAATTAACTCATTTTCTTTTCGGCTTTGTCATTTTATTAATCTGGGGGCGCCACAGTGGAATGAACCGCCAACTATTCCAGCATATGATGACCTTCCAGCTGCAACCCATCACTGGGAACACTCCCATTCACACAAATACTCCACAGCCAATTTAGCTATTTAGCTTACTATAGTAAAATAAAAGATAAACCAACCCTATGAAATACACTCCTTATAGCATTGTTGTTTTCTGTTATATGGTAAATTATTCATTCACAAACGAACATTCGCAAATATTTACCCATTCTATTCTCGTTTTAGGATTCAATTCATCTCACTCCTAAAATCACCTCATCCTATTAAAGAAATAAAACATTATAAGTCTTATAATCTTTGAATTTAGATGCTTTTATATCCAGTTTGATAGTCATTAAAGTCTTTATATTTGATAAATGTCCTGTGTTTTTTTTCTTTCCTCTCTGTATAGGAAAATCTTAATTGTATGTGTAAGTATTTGTATGTTTTTTTCTTTCTTCAAGGATCTGTGTGCGATCCCTTGGTTTTGTTCTGATTGTAGTGGGTTATCTTGTGATAATCTTTGCTTTTATTTGTGGTTTTTCATTGTTAAAGATAATTATTTTGCTTATTTGTTATTATATGCATATACTTTTATTGTATCCACTCGCTTAATAATTAAAATTAAAATAAATTAAAAAACTGGCAAGGACTGTCACATCAACTTACAGATCAGTTATTTCATTATATATATATATATATATATATATATATATATATATA